GGGAGGGAGGAAGGAAGGAAGGAGGGGAGGGAGGGAGGGAGGAAGGAAGGAAGGAGGGAGAGAGAGGGAGGGAGGGAGGAAAGAAGGAGGGGAGGGAGAGAGAGAGAGAGGGAGAGAGGGAGCGAGGAAGGAAGGAAGGAAGGGAGGGAGGGAGGGAGGGAGGGAGGAAGGAAGGAAGGAAGGAAGTTGCTTGAGTGATTAAAATGACTTCCAAAATAACATCTAAAGTTTCTGGAGAGTGTGGAATTTGGGAGGGAGAATTTTGTACAGGATGTGGTTTTTCTAAGAAGCAGGGAAGGCTGGGATTGGGAAGCCACCAAATTCTGCACAACTAATGGTTTGTCTTCCCGCGCAATTAAAATAATTACATCAAAAAAAATCAAAAGACAATGAAGATAATGGCATAAAAGATTAAAAGCGGTGGGTTCTTTAGACAGCTGGTTGTTGTTTTTTTAACATCACCTGTGTGTGCTTAATTTACATCTTAAAGGGGGGGGGAAAGACGGCAAAAGAATCCACAGAGCTTACTCAGCAGAAAGGAAAGAGGTGGCAGAGCTGTCATTTCTGAATATTGGTAAATATGAAACATGGAAGTGCTGGCTATCCCCTATAAACCAACACACATCACACCCACACACCCACACACCTATACAGTGTGTAGCACATATCAGAGACTGTCTTCCCAAGCATGAGTCTGCTCACCTGATCCAAACATCAAGAGAAGCCTTGCTAAAGAGGCACCACCCCCCCCCCCGGTGTGAAGTACAGATGCTCCTCACTTAACGGCCGTTTATTCAATGACACCTTAAGACAGTGATGGTGAACCTTTTAGAGACTGAGTGCCCAAAAACCACCCCCCCACCCCTGTCCCCGCTCCACCGTGCCCGCTGGACCACCCACCACCTCCATGGCCTGCCACAGGTCATCCAGGCAGGCCAGCAGCGCCATGGTGGCCACGCTCGTGCCCTGCAGCATTATCTGCGTGCGATGGGGTGCAAGGGCGGAGGAGTCTTGTCCCCTCTGCCCGGCTACCATATTTATTTATTTATTTATTTATTTATTTATTTATTTATTTATTTATTTATTTATTTATTTATTTATTTATTTATTTATTTATTTATTTATTTATTTATTTATTTATTTATTTATTTATTTATTTATTTATTTATTTATTTATTTAAATTTATATACCGCCCTATCTCCCTTACGGGACTCAGGGCGGTGAACGGGCAATACTAAAAATCACGATAAATATTAAATAAAAAGCCTGCTCTAAAATATCCCATATAAAAACCCCTATCAAAACACAATCAAAACTACGCCAGGCCGGCCGCATGGAATAGATGGGTTTTCAAGGCTATCCTTGGCTGCACAGCATTGCGTGGGCTGAGCCCAGGGGCGACTCTCCTCCGGAGGGTTGCTAGTGAGGAGGGGGCCGTGGGGGGAGGCGGGGCTGGGGCAACGGCACGTGTGCCCACAGAGAGGGCTCCGAGCGCCGCCTCTGGCACGCCTGCCATAGGTTCGCCACCACTGCCTTAAGAGATGACAGCAAAAATTTGTCACATCCGAAGATATGACAAGCAAAAACAATAAGGAAGCTAGATTCACCCTAACAACTGGCGTGATTCACTGAACAACCGTGGCAAGAAAGCTCGTAAAATGGGGCAAAGCTCACTTAACAACTGTCTCGCTTAGCAACGGGAATTTTGGGCCGAATTGTATTTGTAAGTCAAAGACCACCTGTAAAATCAAAACTCCATTGGTTGTCACACTGGAAGAAGAATCACCCTCTCTGAGCCTATTTATCAAAGTGCTAAACAATGTTATCTACTCAGGTCTTGCTAAATTGATGAATAATTTTATTAATACTGTAAAGGCTTCTTAGAATAGAATAGAGCTGGAAGGGACCTTGGAGGTCTTCTAGTCCAGCCCCCTGCTCAAGCAGGAGAACCTATACCATCTCAGACAAGTGACTGTCTAGCCTCTTCTTAAAAACCTCCAGTGATGGAGCGCCCACGATTTCTGGAGGCAAGCTATTCCACTGGTTAATTGTCCTCACTGTCAGGAAGTTTCTCCTTAATTCCAGGTTGATTCTCTCTTTGATCAGTTTCCAACCATTGTTTCTCGTCCTTCCCTCTGGAGCTTTGGTGAATAATGCGACTCCCTCTTCTTCGCTGGCCTATTAGTTTAGTCACTTTGTCGAAGAATGAAATAAGATTGGTTTGGCACGATCTGTTTTTAACAAATCCGTGCTGGCTACTGGTTATAACTTTGTTTGTTTCTAGTTGTTCGCAGATCTGTTTTTTGATTATCTTTTCTAGGATCTTCCCAGGGATTGATGTTAAACTGATTGGTCTGTAGTTTCCTGGGACCGTTTTTTCCCCCTTTCTTGAAGATGGGAACCACATCAGCCCTTTTCCAATCCTCAGGTGCTCCAGGATTTTTGAAAGATGTGGTACAATGGTTCTGAGATAACATCTGCCAGCTCCTTCAGAACTTTGAGATGAAATCTGTCAGGCCCCGGTGATTTATATTCGTCAAGGTTGGATAGGTGTTATAATAATAATAATAATAATAATAATAATAATAATAATAATAATAATAATAATAATAAAAAGTTGGAAGGGATCTTGGAGGTCATCTAGTCCAACCCCCTGCTCAGGCAGGAAACCCTATACCATTTCGGACGAATGGCTGTCCAGTCTCTTCTTAAAAACTTCCAGTGTTGGTGCATTCACCGCTTCTGGAGGCAGGTTGTTCCACTGGTTAATTGTTTTAACTGTCAGGAAGTTTCTCCTTAGTTCTAGGTTGCTTCTCTCTTTGGTTAGCTTCCACCCGTTGCTTTTTGTCCTGCCTTCAGGCGCTTTGGAGACTAGCTTGACTCCCTCTTCTTTGGGGCAGCCCCTGAGATATTGGAACACTGCTATCATGTCCCCCCTCATCCTTCTCTTCATTAGACTAGACATACCCAATTCCAGTAACTGTTCCTTATATGTTTTAGCCTCCAGTCCCCTGATCATCTTACCATTTTCTTGCTTATTTTAATTTTTGTTTCTAATTTGTCTTTTGCAGTGTTTTTTTTGGTATGTTGGGCTATAGTTTCGTTTTATGTGAAGACTGATGCAAAGTATGAGTTAAACAGCTCTGCTTTCTTGTTGTCGCCTGTTATT